GAACATCGCAGACGAGGTAACCTATGTCTCTACTGCGGCCGGGCCGGCCATTTTGTTTCTCGCTGCCCGGTAAAAGGCAAGGCTCAGCAGTAATGGGGAACATACTGGTGAGCCAAACCCCTGGATTTGTTCCCGCTCAGAGACCATTGAGCCACGCCAGGTTGCTATTACCGGATAGCTCTCAGGCTCTTGCAGTTTTTATTGACTCTGGTTCGGACGCGAGTATTATGGACGAAGAGCTTATGCTGCAGTTGGGAATAGACCGGGTTCCCTTATCTCGCCCAGTTCCAGCCAGCGCCTTAGACGGTCACCTGCTGGGGACAGTGACTCATCAGACTGTACCTGTTCACATGCTCCTGTCCGGGAACCATCACGAAACTATTCAGTTTCATGTTCTCCGGTCTCCACATATCCCGCTTATCCTGGGTTACCCATGGCTCCGCCGCCACAACCCTAACATTGACTGGGAGACGGGAGCCATTTTGGGGTGGAGCCCCTCTTGTCATCAGATCTGTCTGAAACAGGCTGCCGCGCCTCAGCGTTCGGTGAACCCCAGCCAAGTTCCGGATGTTACAGGGGTTCCACCGGAATATCTGGACTTTAAGGAAGTATTCAGCAAGACGAGGGCTACTTCCCTACCACCACACCGGCCTTACGACTGTGCCATCGACCTACATCCCGGTACCAGCCCTCCCAGGGGTCGATTGTACTCCCTGTCTGCTCCGGAAAGAGTTTCCATGGAGACGTACATCAATAACTCTCTGGCGGCTGGGATTATTCGCCCTTCCTCATCACCCGCTGGAGCGGGGTTCTTCTTTGTGGAGAAGAAGGACAAGACCCTAAGGCCCTGTATCGACTTTCGGGGTCTTAATGACATTACTGTAAAAAATCGATACCCACTGCCTCTTATCTCCTCTGCATTCGAGTTGCTGCAGGGAGCAACCATATTCACCAAGCTGGACTTGCGTAACGCGTACCACTTGGTACGTATTCGCGAGGGGGATGAGTGGAAGACCGCCTTCAACACTGCCTCGGGGCACTACGAGTATCTGGTGATGCCTTTTGGACTTACCAACGCCCCTGCAGTATTCCAGGCGTTGGTAAATGACGTGCTCCGTGACATGTTGGACCGACACGTATTTATTTACTTGGATGACATCCTGATATTTTCCAAGACTCTGAAGGAACACGTGCACCACGTCCAGGCGGTTCTCAAGAGGTTGCTGGAGAACTCACTGTTTGTTAAAACGGAGAAGTGTGAGTTTCACACATCCTCTGTCTCTTTTCTGGGATACATCGTGGGACAGGGGAGCATTGAGATGGATCCCTCCAAGGTCGATGCAGTCACTTCCTGGCCGGTTCCAGACTCCCGGAAGCGGCTACAACAGTTCCTCGGGTTCGCCAACTTCTACCGGAGGTTCATTCGTGGATACAGCACCTTGGCCGTTCCACTCACAGCCCTGACCTCCTCTAAGGTTATGTTCCAGTGGTCCTCCTCGGCTGAGGAGGCGTTCCAGAACCTTAAGGCCAGGTTTACCTCCGCCCCCATCCTCCGAGTACCCGATCCTGAAAGACAATTTGTTTTGGAGGTGGATGCTTCTGATATGGGGGTGGGGGCCATCCTGTCTCAGCGAGCAACAGACAGCCAAAAACTCCATCCCTGTGCTTTCTTTTCGAGGCGTTTGACACCAGCGGAAAGAAACTATGATGTTGGAAACCGGGAGCTGCTAGCAGTGAAGTTGGCTCTGGAGGAGTGGCGCCACTGGCTCGAGGGGACCAGTCAACCTTTCCTGGTGTGGACCGACCACAAGAATTTGGAATACATCCGGTCGGCCCGCAGACTGAATTCCCGACAGGCTAGATGGGCCCTATTTTTCACTCGGTTCAATTTCTCCCTCTCCTACCGCCCTGGTTCTCGGAACATTAAGGCTGACGCTCTGTCTCGTCAGTTTGGGGAGGGAGGTAACATTCCCAGAGGCTCAGACACCATCCTTCCGACTCCTCAGCTCGTCGCCGCCCTTACCTGGGAAGTGGAGGAGAGGGTCAAGGCCGCCCTGGATGACCAGCCGGGACCCAGTGCCTGTCCTCCGAACCGCCTGTTCGTTCCGCAGATGTTGAGGTCTGATGTTATCCAGTGGGCCCACAACTCCAGACTCACCTGCCATCCTGGTATCCAACGTACCCGGGAGGTAGTCCAGCAAAGGTTCTGGTGGGCAACACTTAAGGAGGACACCAGGGAATTTGTTAATGCCTGCCCTGTGTGCAATCAACACAAGTCTTCTCACCAAGCTCCTGCTGGTCTCCTACAACCTCTGCCTATCCCTCATCGCCCCTGGTCCCACATTTCTCTGGACTTTGTTACTGGTCTGCCACCGTCCAACGGGCACACTGCCATTTTGACGGTGGTAGACCGGTTCAGTAAGATGGCTCATTTTGTGCCGATACCCAAGCTCCCCTCAGCTAAAGAGACGGCGGAGCTGGTCCTGCTCCATGTGTTCCGGCTCCATGGGCTACCTACCGATGTGGTTTCCGATCGTGGTCCCCAATTTACCTCGGTGTTCTGGAGGGAATTCTGCACGCTCATTGGGGCCACGGTCAGTCTGTCTTCCGGTTTCCATCCTCAGTCCAACGGTCAGACCGAAAGGAAGAACCAGGAGATGGAGACGGCTTTACGTTGTATAGTCTCCAAGCACCCAGCGGCCTGGGCTAAACAACTGCTCTGGGTCGAGTACGCCCACAACACTTTGATCAGTTCGGCCACCAAGCTGTCCCCATTTCAGTGTGCATACGGGTTCCAACCCCCTCTGTTTCCGGCCCTGGAGAGGGAGGTTACCTGTCCGTCCGTTCAGGCTTTCATTCGTCGCTGTCGCCAGACCTGGAATCAAGCCCGGATAACTCTTGTTCGTTCGGCCAACCGGTACGCCTCCTCTGCCAACCGCCGACGTTCCAAGGCACCCGTCTACCAGGTGGGCCAAAAGGTATGGCTGTCCACCCAGGATATTCCTTTACGGGTGGAGTCGAAAAAGCTTGCACCGAGGTTCATTGGACCATTTGAGATTATAAGGATAATCAATCCCGCAGCAGTAAGGCTAAGACTGCCTCGGACTCTGCGGGTCCATCCCACCTTTCATGTTTCCAGGATCAAACCTGTCCGAGAGAGTGCACTGGTTCCTGCGGTCCCTCCTCCACCACCCCCCCGGATGATTGACGGCGGACCTACGTACACTTTCCATCGACTGCTTCGTTCCCGTCGCAGAGGGAGAGGAGTCCAGTACCTGGTAGACTGGGAGGGTTACGGCCCTGAGGAGAGGTCTTGGGTTCCAGCTCGTCATGTGTTGGACCCCCGGCTCATCAGAGAGTTCCATCAGCGCAATCCCGAGCAACCTTCTAAGGCCATCACATCGACGGGCAGAGACACTAGGAGAGTCTCTCCACATACTGTCAGCTCTTCCGAGGAGGACAGTGAGGGGCCTGCTTCTGATGAGGACGCCGATTCCCACAGGGGGCAGGAGAAGGAGGCCGAAAGAACTTTTTCAGATGAGTACTAACCCCACCTCCCACCCTCCTCTGTAGATTAGTGTTTAGGGACGTCAGGAGCCGTCCATTAAGGGGGGGGTTCTGTCACAGTTCTGCTCCATCATTCACCAGTAGTTTTCCATTCACCTGTCTCACCTGTTAACCACACCCACGTTTTTGCTCACTCTCTTTCTCTTCTGCACCCATTAGCTTTACTGCCAGTATTTAAACCCTCACCAGACACACACCCATTGCCAGATCGTACTTTGTCTTCATGCTAGTCTTTCACGCGTTTGTCACCAGATTGCCCACCCGGTTCCGACCCTGCCTGTCCCTGACCTGCCTGCTCTGCCTGTTCCCTGATCCTGCCTGTCCCTGGACTATCCTGCCTTGCCTGCTGTCTGACCCTGCCTGTACCTACGTTGACCGCCTCGCCTGCTCCCTGACCCTCTGCCCGGCCCTGACTCACCTTCTGCCCGCTGTCCTCTGGTTCGTCGGCCTGCACATCATCCGGCTGATACTGTTCTGCTGGTATTCCTCTGCTCTGGTAGTATTACCAATAAAGTACATTACCAATACTCCTTGGTTTCTCGAGTGCTGCATTTGGGTCCTTCATAAGATCGTGACAACATCTACTTTGCACTTTCTACTCTCCACTACATTTCAGTGGGAAGTATTGTAGCTTTATCTCCAGTTCAATGATTTGAACGGTGTAGTTACTTTACAAACTAGGATTTTTTGCACAATATATTTTTCATGATTCCAGCTCAAAGTTTTGCTGCTTTGTCATTTAATATTTGAATTCATTTTTATAGTTTTTGAGGTTTGAACTGTTAATAAATCACTTTGGTCTCTTGGTACTTAAGATAGCATGTTTCACTATGTTTACAAATCAAACAATCTATCAGTCAATAAGTATAGAACAGTATCAGCAGGTTATTGAATAATGATTTACATTATGAGTTTGTTTTAATAGAAAATACTCAAATGCATGACTTTAACATGTATTCAAGTATTTTCTACCGTGAGTATCAGTGACTTAAGCACGTCTATTGCACAATGCACCACAATGCACTAGACTTAATGGAATTTCAAAGGTTAGGATGCAAATGAGTGACCATCTACGAATGACTTACAATCATTTATAACACTGCACACTTGTGTTGGCTTATTTATTTATTAATGACATGATTTCACATTGTGTGTTCCTTGAGAAATCAGCAACAAGTAAATAAAGGTGAGCTCGTGAGATACAGGCAAGATGCAACAGCCTTCATCACACACGCACACACACACACACACACACACACACACACACACACACACACACACACACACACACACACACACACACACACACACACACACACACACACACACACACACACACACAGGGGTTGAACACTAAAGGATGGATGGTTAAGGAGGAGTCTGGGAGTCGCATCCAGAGGTCCATGGAGGAGAGAAGATGCTCTGCGCGGCAGATCATCACATATATGTAAAAATGAAATATGACGACTCAACCCCGGCTACCGGAGAGATGCCTCGCATATTTTAGCGGTTTCCCTCCATTTCCGTTGCGGGGTGACCTGTCAGATGCTACGTGCGTCTCGGTGCACACCGGGGGCAGCGCACCGTGTTGCGTCTGTGTGTCTCAGTCAGAAGAAATGCCATCTCACATAATTGATCTTTCCTCTCCTCTGCTCGGATTTTATATTCCACATCAGCTCGGATCGCTTCGCTCTTGTGATTGAATGGCTGTCATGACTTGTGCCCTCAGGACTGTGACGCTACGAAATCAGGAAGAAAACCCCTCGTTTGGTTTTTATGCGTCCTTTCAACCTCTCTGTATTTTCACCTGGTAATTAGACCTGGGATCTCCGTGGTAATCTACTGATCAAACAATGGGAAGACCTTCAGTATATCGACATAAAGGGTAAGTTGATTTTTCACGGGTTCATTTTTACAGGAATGCATCACATCAGTTCAGTAGGCTAAGCATGCGTTTACACGTTTTCTTTGCAAATCATAGTTTCTTATTAAACGTAGGCCTACTGTTTGTAATATATTCAGGGCAATATATTTACTGATTAACAACAATGATTTCCTTTCCCCACATCCCCTCTCCTCATGTGCAGTGAATGCTCTTGAATGGATGCATGCTGGAATGAAAGGGCTGATTTGATTGCAACTAAATACTGAAATGCCATTCACATAGTGGCCTAGCTGGCAGGAATGATGCAGCTGCAGTGCCATTACACACATTTCACTCCACGAAACAAGATAAGATAAATAGCAATTCTCATCAGGCATGATATTTTATTAAGTAACACTTGTGACTTTTTTATAAAGGTTGAAAAGTCAGGGTGCATCTAATTTACACTGTGTGATGATTAAGTATCAATATAGTCAAATTCTCCATTGAAAACCCATCATTACCTCTTTTATAATCATTGTTTAATTCAATGTTTTTTTATCCAAGTCACATGACATGTACTTTTCTTATCTATTGTTTAACATAGAATTTGAGCCAAAAAGCATAGTCTTAATTCAATGTACAGTTCAACAGGCTTCTGCTGTAAGAGATTACAGTTTTACTGTAAGAGCCAACTTTAACTGTATCAAATAATGCTCATTGTTTTACAGATATATATCATGACATGTGTAATTGATAGGAATACCAGAGTGATGCTTGTGTGTAGCTGTCCAGTACAACTTGTGCACAGAACAAGAGTAGTCAAATATGTGTGTAACCACAGAGCTTATTTACTTTCAAAGGAAGTACCTAAAAAAGCCTAACAGCTGCCATTTCTTGTTATTTACAGACAAAGATGTTGTCCTGGCTGTGAATTGATTTAAACTTTGCCATGGGGAAGACACTGGACTGAGATTTGACACCACAGTGGAAGAGAAAGAGGTGAAGACATGGTCATCACTGACAGAAACACTGGTACCCCTGTCCCTAAAAAAGAGCCGCAGCAGAAGACGAGGAGGAAGTCTCGCCCTCATGGCCTGCCCTCCCCGGCCCTCTGCTGCGCCTGCGGCCTGTGCATCATGCTGGCTGGACTCAACATCACCCTGGTGGGAGCATTCGCTTTCAGCACCCTGGTGCCTTCTGCCAATCCCCCAATCATCATCGGACCTATCCTACTGCTGGTGGCCTTCTCCTTTTTCGGGGCCTGTTGCGTGTGCAGCCGCCTCCCCCCTCCAAACAGCTCACGGAGGTCTAAGGTGGGCGGCAGGGGTGGAGGGCTGATGGGACATGGAGGGTTGGCTGGTGGTGCAGCGTTTGAAATAGAGACCAGTGAGCACACTCTGCAGGACACCACAGCTGTGCAGCTCAGCCCCACATCCTCCCGTGGATCATCCCAGGTGTCCAGCCCAGAAAAGGAAGCTCCTGACGCGGCCCTACCAGGACCCTGCACGCTCTTCACCATGGAGACCAACGGCTCTTCTTCTGCGTTTGGCACCGCAGTGTACTCGGCCTCCACAGCAGGAGGAGGGGAGGTGAGGCTCAACCTGCCACGTGAAGAAGCCGTCGCCTAGCAGAGCAGAAACTCTTCCAAGGCCGGAGTGCTGCCAGTGTAAATATCCTTCTGGGCCGAGGGCTTGCTGAGTGTGATTGTGTCCTCTAGTTGACGTGGTGCCATATTTCTGGTTGTGAACAGTATGCTTTTGAATTTCTTGCTGTGCTGCCAACTGGTAATTAGCATGCAACGTTAATGAAACATCCAAGTGTTTGTGGATCATAGGTGTTGGAATTCAAATTCCTCCCTCTATTGTGTTTTTTTTGTAACTTCCTACAGGTCTTTGCTTTTAATGTTGGGCATTATGAACAGTTTTCATGTAGTAATCAAACGAAAAGGGTCTTAAACCATAAGTATTTATCTCTCACTGCTACTCTGGTTTGTGGAAAACTCACCTGTCAGCAGTGATTTCAGAGGGCTTGAATGAATAATATGATTGTTTATTTGTTATGAAGACTTAAAGATCAGATGAGAAAGGTCAACAGTGAAATGTATAGGTTCATTTGTTTTGACATTTGGCATTTTGTGTGCCGTTCTCACTGCTGAACTTGTTTTGGGGGCATAATATATTATAGGTCACAGGGGTCCCAAAGCAATATCCTCTCACCTGAGATTAAATCCTTTGCCGTTCTCTTTACAAGAACACAGTACTCTAAAGCCAATGTATTTGTGATGAACCACAGTGCATATATAGAGTAACAGTATACTAACATGTACTGTGTAAAATGTTGAATCATGGAAGCGTTATTCTTGCAGTTTGACAAATGGTCACCACCACAACATCAACACTGTGAATATTGTGTTTCCTAATATATTTATTTTCAATTTCACATGTACATTTTCATTGAAGGTAGTGTAGTTTCCACTATTTTAAGGTTACACTCATCATGGTATTTTAATTAATTTATAGTATTCACCGTGAGGCAAAGACATGTGTCATAATAATGATTTTGGTCATTATGGATTTGAATTAACAGTGGGACTCCACCGAGGAATGTATTACAAATGTGAACATGTGAATTCCACAGTATTGAATCCTTATATTTTATGTCTAACATGACATCCTCTTACTTTATATTTAACAGAAGTTAACCCCAACTGGACCTACACACAAATAGGCAAGCACAGAAGTCTGACAGAGTTTAGATAATGAGATTGCATAAAATAAAATATGTTCCCCATCACTGTGATGTCTTCTTGACAAAAGACATTCAACCCCTGATTTCCTTTGAAAGGAACGTTGCCTTAGACTGAGACATCAGGAACTAATGAGGGCTATAACAAAGTGCACAATAGCATTTCTCTCCAGAAAGCATTTGTTGGGCTCTGGATTTCTATTCCATATTGTTAGGAAATACTCAACATTTCTCTTTTATTGTGGGAACAACAAATGCATGCCAATGGCTTTAATTTTCACAGCAGAGATGTATAGGAAGTAGCAGGAGAGTGAACACCTGCATCAAGTGGCCAGAGCATTCCCGTAAACAGTTTTGACCTTCTTTTGTGACACAGCTCCTCAGAAGAACCCGTTTCTCTGTCAAATCTCTCTCTTGTGCTGAGCTCATTGTTTGCATGTTGAGAGGAAGAGATTCATGGAAATGCAAACATCCTTTTGTGAACTATTGGTGTTTTGTGTGTATTTTTATTTGTGTAACGCTTCTTCAAAAATCTGGAAAATGTAAAAGATATAATATTTTTGTGAAGATTATAATTTGATGATGATCCAAATGTGAATCCTACAAAATATATGAATAAAAAAGGCTCTTTCCAACCTGGGGTTGCTAATTATCATTGCGTGGCATGACACTGTGTTCCTGCTACACAGCATCAGTGTCACCATGAAGGGATATAAATATAAATGAGCAACTGGATTTGTTATATGTTCACATTTCAAACAAGTTCAGTGTGATATTGTGGGACATCCAGCCATTTTTTGGGGCACAATCTTTGTCACAAGGATTATTTATTCCAAGAGGCAATTTCTAAAGATTATTTAACAGCATTGTGTGGGAAAGCAACGAAACATGACGCATACATGATTCTCCAGAAAGAAGTTACAAAACAGTAGAAAGCTTTATGTTTCAGTTTATCTTTGACAAACCAGCCTCCTGTTCACCAAATCAAGGCTCCTCCGATTTCACATCCAGGGCTATGACTATTTTCATTATTGATAGCCGATTATTCAAATTGAAGATTTGTCATTTTGTCGAACAGTCAAAAGAAAAAAGAATATTCAATTTACAATGTTATACAACGACTTGAACTTAAGCACTATTGCTTGTGAAATTATTTAATTAATTAATCTTTTATCAACATTTTTCGCTGACACATTTTCTGTCAATTGATTAATTACTTTTTAGCCACAGTTTCTTCTGTGAAAATCTAAGGCTAGCTGGTTTAAAAAAAATTCTAAGTGCAATAGCAATGCTCCATATTCTTCAACATATCACATTTAGATGTTCTTAGGTAAATAATTTAAAGGTCCCATGTCATGCTTTTCCGGTTATTACCCGTCCCCTTGTGTTTTATGTAGCTTTTTATGCATGTAAACGGTCTGCAAAGTCACAAACCCTCAAAGTACACCCTGTAGCGAGTAAAACTCTAACACAGAAAAGACCTGTCTATGCTGCCCCAGAACGCCTCGTTGGAGATTTTTCTTTTTCCATTTTTTTCTTCCTGGTCTAAGTGACGAAAAAAACAAAAAACGAGGCCACACTTTATTAATTTGTGCGCACAAGATGTAATTCGTGGCCTCAATTTAAATACAGCGAGGCCAAGCTTTATTAATTTGTGCGCACGAGATACTTTCTCGCGCGCATGAGAAAGTTACCGGTGCGCACGAGAAAGTTACCGGTGCGCCAAGTAGGAAGTGGAGCGCACAGGAGACAACCGTTTCATTGCAGACTGTTATGTTTATGTGGGGAAATGGCAGCTGCATACATTATTTGAGATATATTTCAAACACGGACTTAATTTTAAGGACATTTCGGCCAGTGGTGTAGAGCTATTTGTTTAAGCACCGGATTCGCAAAACAGGAGAGTCTGTGAACCAGCCTGCCTTGATCTATGAATTCATGTCCGTGACTCTCACAGATCTGCAATCTGCGCACAGAGAGCTGTGTTTTTTACGCAACGCCTTCACTGTGTTTACCTTCATTAGAACAGCTGAATAGAGATCGAGGCTGCTACGTTTTAGCCACACACACACAACACACACACACACACCTCTACACACATCGAACTGCCCGATTATTCCCCCTATTACTAATTATGAAGGAGATGTCCGGTCACCAAGGCGCATGATGTGTAAATAACCCAATTTGTGTTCTGTGAAACTGAAAAGGATATGACATTGTTTTTGTTACTTTCGTTGCAGTTGTATGTCTTAAATGTAATTTAGGTTAACTTCCTGTTTTATTTAGATGCTTTTATTTTGAAGGCGAGTTTACGCTGTTGACAGGAAGTTGTTGTTGCGATGGAAAGGTGAGGGAGAAAAGTAATAAGCCTCATCTCAATACCCCTCCTCGACTCCTCCTTTCCCTCACTCGCGTCCCTTCCTTGCGTCTTAGCTCCGCCTCCGTAAGATGCGAGCGAGAGACACGAGGAGGAGACGCGAGGACAGAGGAGTCCTCGGTTGCATTCGAATAGTCCATTTAGCTTAGGAACCTTCCTAACGGAGTGAAATGACCCGGAAGTCCCTCAGTGGCAGCCATGATAAGTGCCGTTCGAATTCTCTAAATTAAAAGGAAAGGAGGTTTCAAACTTCCTTTATAACCTCCTTTAGCCTAGGAACCACTGGACCTCCCTAACCGAAAGGAGAGGAGAAAATGCTGCCCCACAATGCCTTGCGGCCGCAGCATTTGCCGTCACACAACAGTCGGCCGTTCACGGAAACAACCGATTATGAACGAGAAATGATATCATGAAAGTTACGGTGCTTATTAAGCATTTTAAAACGTATGTGGTAAGTTGCCAAAGTGCTTTGTTTTGAACGTTCATCAGTATTATAATCAAAAAGAGAAATATGAACGTTAGTTTTTACTGAAATGATCAAATAAAGTCAACATTTCACAGTCTTTACTGAGCTGTGTGGGGTTTGTTCAACTTTTAAAAGATGTTTGAATGGTGATATACACAGTGATAGATGTTAAGGACTAACGTTTATAATAAATACATTTGTATTGATTTTAACATCTTTTCATACAATCATATGTATTGGGATCATTTGTATTAATGTGGACCGGAGGGAGAGGGTGACGAGCATAAGTTTCACTTTCCTTTTTTATTTCAATTCCAACTTTGGTCATGAAGAATATGTTTCTCTGTTGTCCCCGTTCATAAAGCATAAAACAACAGCATCAGAGCACGGTGCAGAGTCTCTAGATGAGTTTACAGTAGTCACTCGTTCTTATTAAACATCCATGTTGTAGTCCGCTGTATAGAAAACTGTAGTTTCCATAGTTTCCCCACAGCAGCAGGCGCACATTTATGACCTCTGCTGGCGCATCATAAACACGTCGGATAGTGAAAGTGCAGTCGGATTCTCTAAAGTGCCGCAGTCTCTTCTCCTAAATCCTTTTGAATTCTCCTATCCACTATCCCTTAACCCCATGACGTTTCACTCCGAGGTCAAGGAATAGACGATAGGGTTAGAACTTAGGAGCTGTTTTTTTGGAGTATTCGAACGCAACCCTCAGGTATTAATTGGGACGTCCTCGTTCACTCAAACGTCACTCTTAAACGACGTCTGTTAATGATGACATGTGCACAGCTGTATCCCCTCTCATCGGGCTTAACTGAATAACCCTTTAGAACTGGCCCATTTGTTGTTAAATATTTATTTAAATGAATGAATCTTTCTCTTGTTAGTCAAGGAATTCAATGTATGATGGTTGGTCCTGCTTTTGTGTTCCGTTTTGGTGTAAAATGTAGCCTACATTTAAATACAAATATAATTATAGTAATGTGAAAGCCTTTACTCTGAAAATGTGTGTCCTGTAGATCCCCACATTCACCACAAACTCACATTCAGGACTGTGAATTTTAAATAATTTAACTCCTGAATATCTTAACAAAAACAATACAAATAATTGTTATTTATCAAGATCTAGCCATTTATGAAATAGCTTTCTTAATAGCTATGTTTTAGTGACGTTCAAGATCATTAAACATGACTTAAATTGTTAGTATAACCTTAAGAACGTGACGCTTTTCCACTCATTCTTCCAGTTCTCCGTTTTCCTGTGTTGAAATCGACCAGCTGTGAAGGTGGGGGCGGGGCTTTTATACCTAGTAGTGAAAACACTTCCGCGTAGTCTGCTCTCGTGTATCCTCCCTTTCGTCTCCTCCCGCACCCCTCCTCCTTCACCCCTCCTCGACTCCCCCGTGTGCATTTCAGCTATTGGGACGTCCTTCAAAATGGCGTGTCTTGATCGATTTCCGGGTCAAGTCCCGGAGGAGGGGAAGAGAGGAGTCGAGGAGGGGTATTGGGATGAGGCTATAGAGAACCGCAGTGACGCGTCCTAAAACCCGGAAGTAAACTTCTTCCGGTTCCTTCGACAAAAATGCAATGCAATTTCTCCATAGGATTTTGGAAAATAGCTTGAAATAAGGTCTGTGGTTGACACACATTTAAGAGACGGATCCCGTTTTGTTTAGTCGGATAATCTCCACATGTCTACCCATTTTTTATAATTTTCGAATCATAAATCTATTGATCATAAATCTATCGATTAGATGATTAGAAAATTATAAAAGTAGGGTAGACATGTGGAGATTACCCGGCTGAACAAAACGTGATCTTCTTGTTTGTGATTGGACAGAGCCAGCCAGAGAGCTCACAGCTCCTCATATCTGTTCAGAAACTGGACAAAAGTTAAACATGAACAAACCACAGACTGTCTATGTCATGGTGAATACAGTCACTGTTTTATTTATGTCTGTATGCCGTTGTTGTGAGTTTGGACGGAGCAGCTACAGGTTGGTTTATCCTGATCGATCCGATCTCCATTCAGAAAACACGCAGTTTAAAAGGTTTTTCACCTGCCGTCTTGTCTGCACACTTGTCACAGCATTAATTCATGGTTTTTACTAACCGGTATCAGTATGTTGTTACTTCGGCATCGTTTTGAAACGTGTATTACAATTAAATCACGGTAAAATATGTTCATTTTGTTGTAGTTGGTACAGGGACGCGGGAAGTCAGTCAGAGTTGGGGGTGCTAGTGGAGCGGGGCCTCGCAGCCGCGAAACTGTGGGGCGCTTGCACTGTAGGTGCGCCGCGTTTGGCTGACAAACCGTGCCGAGCCACACTAATTGCGCCGCATAAGCTCAGTTGAGGCTCCCTCCGCAAGATGAGGCCCCCTCCGCAAGGTGAGGCCCCACGCAGTCTGCAGGATCTTCCTGTAGGGAGGGACGGCCCTGTCTGTCCAAACTCACAACAACGGCATACAGACATAAATAAAGCAGCGACTGTATTCACCATGACATAAGGCACGTTCACACCAAGTACTTTGCCGTATTTAGTGCCGGCACTTAGTGCCCCGGCACTTATTACCCCAGGGCATTTAGTACAGATCGCGTTCACACCGGAATAAATTCCCTGAGGGAAGATTACGCAAATGAGCCGCTGACGTCACTTCGTCTTCTTCTGCTTTGGGTTTACTGGCAGGCCGCAAACAACTTCACGGCGTATACTGCCACCCGGAGTCCCCGGCCGGAAGTCGCCGGAGTTGGGGACTGGCTTCAGTAGAAGCTGCTGGGACTCCCAGCA